TGAAGCATGGAGTCCTGTATGGCAGCTGAACTGTAGTGCAATATTCTTTCCCTTTCGTTCTACCAATCACTACAAATCTTGCTTTCCATTTATTATATATGAATTCTTTCATTTTTGGTATAAAAGTTTTATAATCTACTAGTTTATTATTAGTATTAGTGTTAGTGTGGGAGGTAAGAGCCGTCCAGCGTTGACCAACTTATCTGCTTCCTCATTTCCATGAATGTTGGTATGACTTGGTATCCATGCTAATTATACGTCCCTTTTGTTTATTAATTTCCTTCTTGTGACCAGTGTTAGTTCGTCCGTTTCAGCGTCTATTCCAGTTTTGCTTATCTTCTTTAGAGCACTTGATGAATCAGAGAATATAATATAATAATATAAATATAACTGCCTTGGCGATGTCATATTGTTCTATTTTAAGTAGGGCAATGTATATAGCATAAACTTCTGAAGAACAGATATGAAAGTCTGACATTCGACCTGAGTGTCTCAGTTCGCTGACTTCTGAGAATACCCCCACTCCAACCTTTCCGTCTTGATCTTTTAAGCCATCTGTATAAATAAATACACTGTTTGGCCATTTCTCCTTTGCAAGATTTATAAAACTTTGTTTATTGTTAGTCTCCTTTCTTAAATTCATATATTCGACCTTAATAGGTGTAATGTGATCTTCCAGAGTGAATAAATAACAAGGAAGATTTGGGTGAACTCTTACTTACTCTTACTTTGGGAGAACTCAAACCAATATTTGAGTAGCATAATCTAGTGCTTTTACAAGAAGAGGGGTTGTCTTCCAACTGTCTGGAGCTTCATTATATCTTGCATACAGTTGTATGAGCATGTTTCCAATCGGATTTTCATACGATAAAACTTTCAAAGCCTGCTTGGTTCCCAGGGCCTCTGTTCTCAGATCTAACGGCAATTCTCGACTTTCAGATAAAAGGATGATAGTAGGGGTTGGCCGCATCATTCCCAGTGCTATCCTTAGGGCCTGAAATTGTATCTTATCCAGTTGATTTAGATCTTTTTTATTGACTCAGCTCAACAGGCAACTTCCGTAATCCAAATGCGACCTTGCCGTTGCCTTATAAATCATTAGCTGGCTTAAGGGATCCGCTCCCCACCACGTTTTACGTAATGCCCTCATGATATTGATTCCTTTTTGCACCTTGTTACATATATGTATTTTATATGACTTGTCCATTTCAGATTGCGATCCAGTACAAATCCTAGATGCTTGACTTCAGACTTCCATTCTATATTCAAATTATTCCATTCAATAGATCTCATGGGGTTCCTGCTAGAACGTCTAGTGAAAAATATAGCTGATGACTTCCCTGGAGAGATTGACATTTCGTGACCCGTTAGCCAGGTGGAAATGTTTCTTAAGGTTGCGTTTATTAGATCAATGTTGGTTTCAGTGTCCTCACCCATGATACAAAGAATACAAGGTATGATATTGCGCAGGTTGGTCACTACGTCACTGGTGATAAACGACACCATTGGTTGGCAAACTCCGCGCGCCAATTTCAAATTCTCAAACAGATGACACAATAAATGTGAAAATAATTTTTCAAATGTCAAACTCGACGATTTGACACAACTTTTGGGGTTATGTCCTAATTCTTCCGTATTTTAGGTCTTTTTTTATTAGTGGCAATTGAACAATATGGAAATTTTTTTGTATGACGCATGACGTCACAGGTGGTATGCGCAAACTTAACGAAATTGGAGCCGCTATCGATCATACCTTGTTTTCTTTGTACCATGGTCCTCACCCATACATAGTGTCATCTGCATACTGAATAATGAATTGAATAATGACAAGTGGCATCTGTCTAAAAAAGACAGCGATTTAGGGCGACAATTTGGTTATGAAAAATTTAGTGACAATTTTGATTATGCAAAAGAAATACAGATTCTATGAGTTTGCCTAACGATTCACATTAATTTAAAAATAAATTCCCAACATGAATAATGAACAAAACATTTAAACAAAAACAGACCACAAAACAAATTGTTGGTTAATAACAGTTAGAGGGTGGTAGTTAGAGATATAGATGTAGTAGCATTTTGGTTTAGTGGCCACAGCTGCCAGGCTATCCGGCCGAGTGATACAATTATTGTTTTTTAATAAAAATTAAAAAAACATTATAAAATTATAAAGCTAGAATCTTCGATGGTAGACAGTTTTATACTAGTTTTTTTGAAGTTTATAAAAAGCATTCGTAGAAAAATATATGTATATCCTTGAAATCCTTCAATTTAATAGCTGTTAGTAAGAAGTTTCACTTCAATTTTTTTTTAATTCGCTATTCAATGTTTTTACTTATCCAATACTTTTGATACTGGTTTTGAAAGATTCTATATAGTGCTATTCTCCTTTTTTACTATCATCTGACATTTTGACATTTGACGTTGTTGCCAATCTGATATTCATCTGATATTTCACCATTTCCCTTGGTAACCCAGAAAATGCGAGTCGGTTGGAGCGTCACTCCCCAAAGTGTTTATAACTAAAATCATATTGCTTCCCGCTTGCACCAAATCCACTTATTAAACAATGTTAGTTTCCTTATCTATAATATAAGGTATAATAATAGATTATTTAATAAACATATTAACTCAAACGGATTGAATATCATCATATTTAATTTTAGAATTGCGATATTAATTTTATGTTATAATCTGTAATCTTTACCGCAACTAGTCATTACGATGTGCGTGTAATTCTTTAAGCTGATACATATTTGCTAACAGAGTTATATTTTCATATTATTTAGCTTGATTTAAATAAGATATTGCATAAAAAATAAATGATGGAAGCTTTTACGACTTATTAATTAGTAGAAAACTATGTTTGCAGGTAATAACGCCTGTAAGATTTTTTTTATAGATTTAAAATATTAGTAGTCTAGTCAATAATAATATTACACAAAACAATAAGGTTAACGGTTCCCGATAGATTACCGAAGTTAAGCGACGTTAGATGAAGCGAGTGGATGGATGGGTGATCGTCTGGAAAGTCTGTCGTGCTCTTGTTCCATGGCATGAGTGTAAAATCTATTGACTCACACTGCTCATTCACGCAGCGCCGCGCCGCGCCTGTTCGAGGGCGTATGAGATTGGGATATCTCGTAGTGATGGGCATTACGATTCTTTTTAGTGAATCGAATCACACGATTCAATTTCTCATATTGAATCGGCTCCTACGATTCGTTCATTTGAACGAGCCACATGCACAATTTACCTTTCATAAAAACAAAAATTGTAACTGGCACTATCGGCAATAATTTGGTCGGACAATTACTTAAGGGGTCAGAAAAAGAAATATACAGTTCTTTCATTTGTTTTTCAACAGATTATTGATAGTTTACCAACAACAATTACAATACTGGCGTAATAGGATTGATTATTTTACCAATAATATTAAATTTTCAATCCAATTCATATATACTATTTATTAAAAACTTCTTAATACCAATTTAATATTTTTAGAGCCATATTTTAATTCTGATTTAATAATCATAATAAATAATATATAATACCGCATGATCGAAAAAAAAATGGCGTCCAGTAGGCTTGGAACATCGATGACGGAACATCGAAACATCGGAACATCGATGGCATTCCCATATTCCTATATAATTTTACATATAAAATGACAGCGATCTTCATTTTATAACTATCGCTGACGCCGTTTTTTACCATATTGAGCAGAGGCCAACAATATTTATTTATGTGTTTTAGTCCGACATTTAATGGTTTATAGCCGGTAATATTATTTTAACAAAAATATTAACGTAATAATATTAACCTTACAGATACTCCTGTACTAAGCACAGTGTGAGGTTCAAGTTAACGTCTCCTTTCTGATGCAATGGCTAAACTGGACGGGACCTACTTGTTTACGCGGAATCCGAACCGCGGTCCTCGGCCATATCATGGTCAATGGCCTACCGACTTAGGAAGTGTCTAAATTAACTCTTACTCACGAGATATCCGATCTCATCCGGCCTTGAACCGGCGTGAATGAGCAGTGTGTATCAATAGATTTTACACTTTTCCCTTTTTGGACAACAGCACGATGCAAAGTTTCGAACCGGTCACCCGTCCATCCACTAGCATCGCCTTACGTCGCTTAACTTCGGTGTTCTAATGGGAACCGGTGTTTCGACGTAGCTGGGCCGTTGCCCATACTAAGCACAGTATAAGTAAGTTTTTTTCTTGTAAATAACTTTCTTATCGTTTGCATTTTATGCCCATGATGTTTGTTTAGGGCTTTTGTTCAAGTCTAAATATTGGTGCCTGTCTCTATGCCTATATCACCGCCGCGCAGCGCCGTTGAAACGAACGATCGCATTGTGATCCGATTCAATTCTCACGATTCTTTTTTAAGGCTCATTGTTCAAATCTTATGGATTCGTGCTGGCCACGATTCAATTGAACGAACCTTATTGTAAGCAATGAATCAACTCTCACGATTCTTTGAACGAACGATCGCATTGTGATCCGATTCAATTCTCACGATTCTTTTTTACGGCTCATCGTTCAAATCTTATGGATCCGTGCTGGCTACGATTCAATTGAAAGAAAGAAAGAAAGAAATTGCTTTATTGTCATAAAAAATTTTACAATTTTGTTGACAAAGCTTAAAAAAAAGAATATAAAAAACATACAAAAAAAATTGAACGAACCGTATTCTATATTCTTGCAGTGAATCGAATCTCACGATTCATTTTTAATACTCCTTCAGATGAACGACTCATTCAATCTTTGTCTACCTCTAATATCTCTATCGTGATTAAGAGTCGATTTTTAAACTCGCCAAGTCCGTAGGCCATTGATAATGATATGGCCGGGGACCACAGTTTGGATTCCGCGTAAACGAAGTAGGCCCCGTCCAGATTAGCCTTAGCAGCAAAAAGGAGACATAACTTTAAATACTTTTACTTGTTTTACAAAGCAATATTATATAGTTATTTATTCTGTTCTAGCTCCAACGTTATTTAAACAACAAGCTCGGATAGATAGAATGCGAATAGAACTGACAACAGCAAATGCAAAATTAGTGATACTTAGACAAGAAGTAAATGAATTGGAACAAAATACGTTGCAGGTAAGGTTAATACATTGTCATTTTTTTTTAAAAGCACACAAAAATTGTATTGCTAGAAAGCGTTTGGACGTTGACTATCCACTATTTCTTATATTAAAAATAAAAGTCCTGAGCAGCAAAAAAATTAATACTAAAGGTTTATTTAAAATTTTCTACGGTCAAAATATTCGTAAGTGGGAATCACGTCCAAATGTGTACAGGGTGGGTCAAATTCGACGCTTTTAAATGGAAACACCCTTTTCTATATTAGATAGACTAAGACTAATATCGGTGTCTGGAGCTCAATTTTCATCAAAAACATGATGGTGAAAACCGCACATCAATATCTATTACCGTTTCGGAGTTACGGGGTGTTTTTCAAAAATGTGCATTTTTAACAAATCGCTGTAACTTTTTTGCTATGGAAAATGTTGTATTTCTATGAAAACATTTCCAAAGCGCCTTTTTACGTAGAATTTAATGGTTTAAGTATAATTTTTTTAAAATTAATAATTTAAGAGTTATCAACAGAAAAATTGATTTTTTATTTGGGACACCCTCTATATTTTTAATTAACTGAAAAGAATTTAAAATTACCTTTCCAAAAATAAAGCACACTTGATATTTTGTTATAATCCCCTTCGAAATACAGAATTTTTAAAAGTTCGCCACTAGTAGGCTTTTTAAGGCCCTTATTGATGATATGCCCTTAATGGAACTCGAAAACATATTTTTCCAGCAAGACGACGCACCGCCTCTAAACTTTGAAGTTATCAGCAAATTTTTGCATCCAATTTCAAGAATAATTGAATAGCTAACCAAGATTCCAGCCGTTGGCCGTCGAGGCCGCCTGACTTAGTGCCCATGAATCTAATCCTATGGATATATTTGCGACAAGGATATATAATCTATGGATATATAATCTAGACAAGAATTAGAAATACTTAGCAGTTATGAGAAGATATCTTTCACCCCCACTGAGTTAATGAATTCTGCGAGAAATGTTCAAAAATTGCCCCGTCTGTCCATAATAGAAAATGGTCGATATGTCGAACACCTGTAGCAAAATCTCATGTCTTGGTTTCCTATTTATTTTTATTGTTATTAGATATGGTTTAAATGTGTGTTGATGTTGGTTAAATATATTTTAAATAGTTATACAATTCTGCATCTCTCATAGCAAATATTATTTTCGTTTTAATTGATGCTCACAGCTAGATTTTTTTGCATTACAGCCGGTGCCGTTCAAAGCCTACTCATTTAAAGCGGGTGAATTTTTATATACTCTATATCTCAAAGAGGAATCGAGCAAAATATCAAGTGTGTTATATTTTTGGAAAGGTAATTTTAAATTCTTTGCAATAAATTAAAAATATACAGGGTGTCCCATATAAAAGATCAAATTTTCTGTTGATAATTCTTAAATTATTAATTTTAAAAAAATATACTTAAACTATTAAATTCTACGTAAAAAGGTGCTTTGGAAATGTTTTCATAAAAATACAAAACTTTCCATAGCAAAAAAGTTACAGCGATTTGTTAAAAGTGCATATTTTTGAAAAACACCCCGTAACTCCGAAACGGTAACAGATATCGATATGCGGTTTTCACCATCATGTTTTTGACAAAAACTGAGCTCCAGACACCGATATTAGTTTTCGTCTATCTCCCATAGAAAATGGTGTTTCCCTTTAAAAGCGTCGAATTTGACCCACCCTGTACATACAGGCTTCCACAAATTCGAGGAATGAGCACTGGTGTCTCTAACGTAATAGATACGAACATGGTTAAATTGGGGCAAAGTTGCGCATTTTTTACAGATTTAAAAATTTCAAAGATTGCCAAGTTTTTTGGAAAAAACGGATTTTTTTGAAAATCAATTTACTTTTTTCCTGTCGTTACTTTTCAGAAAATCAAAAAACTAACTGCACACTTTCATAATAATAATATAATATGAGATACCGGCTTAGATAATTCATGAGATACCGGCTTAACTGTTTAAATACGAACCTGCATTTTTTATTTCAGGTTTTGAAAGCACTCGGTCTCCTGAGTACAATAATATGCCACATTTTATTTTTTTTTTGTTTCGGACATTTGAACACAATTTATTTAAACTAATTTCAAGTCCGGCTCTGTTTTTTTAACATTTAATCTATTCATCGTTACAATATTGATGAGCTTTAAAACTTCACAATGACGTGGGGTAAAACATTAAATACGGAGATTTCAAATTTAAAAAGGGCTCAAGAGGTTCAATTTATTCCTCAGTTTGCTGCATACGATAACTATTCAACTTTTTAATTTCCCAGTTGTGGATTAAAATTTCCCTTTTCCCTCTGGATCTCGAAATTTCCCACGAATCGGGAAATTTCCAACGGATTGGCATCACTGGCTTGGACTGAATTCTCCCTCAACAATTTTGATACTACAATACGTACATTAACAATATTTTTTTAAATTTCTCCTTAGGTTGCACGAAGAAAAACCGAGGAAGAATTGGAAAAGCAATTAAAACTAGAAATTAAACACATGACAGTTCAATGTGAACAATTAGCTGAATTATTTGCTGACAAAGGTAAGTTTTGATATTTCTCAACTTTAACTATCATTAAATATTTACTTTTACCCACAGAAACTGAAGACATATTCAAATCTTATCACCATTAATTATACAGACTTTAAAATTATCTGATTAACAATCAAATACAGTAAGATCAAAGTATACTTTGACTATACCATTTAAAAAAATATATGTAATTTCCCATAAGAATTATTTATCTGTAATCAAATAAAGCATGCTTGATCATTACACTTTTTGATCGTATGGCATATGTAAGATATCTGTTGGCTGTAAATTGTTATGAATTTCAACAATAGACATAGTATACGTACCTCGAAGTCAAATATTATTTTTAACGTATATGCCTGTGATATACAGGGTCATACGCCGCGGAAGCTCCAAAGAGAACGGTAGTTCATATCGAAATGAAATTTTGGCAGCTTATGTAGGTTATCTGAAAGCATTTTTTAAAAATATATAGAATTATACAAGGTGTCCCCAAAAAAAGTTACACATCAAAGTTGTTTTTTCTAATGGAACACCCTATATATTAATTGATTTTCGGATTCTAGGAACAAAATAAAGGGGAGTTTTATTAAAGAAACATATACCTAAAATCATTAGTTAGTTACATATTTCAAATTTTGTGAAAACGATGAGTATATTTTAAATTTCGATAATAGCTACCTAAATTTTAGTTGACCTTGTCTAGCCTGATATTTAATTACAGTAACCATTGTATGTTAAACCAAATTGAAATTTGACCAGAAAAGTTATACAGGATGAGACAAAATTAATATGGAACATTAGTCACTTTTAAAAGCAAGTTACTCATTTATTTTAAATGGAACACCCAGTATATTATTCCGGTGTTCAATGAGGAATTTATATATCTTCAAAATATTATTAAGGTTGCCTACCCCTCAGACAAAAATTTTCCTAGATATTTTAATTTGTATGATTTTGCGGCAGTGATCTTTATTATTTGAAAAAATCTAGGTGGCTATGTACCTTTTTGTTAATTTAACAAAAATTCAAGATTGTAGAGTAAAATACTCAACGCTAAGAAAAAGATACACGTTTAAAACATATTTCAATTATTACACAATTAAAACAAGATATAAACCTATTATAAAATTAGCTAGTTGAAATCAAATGCTCAAAATGTTTCCTTTCCTGTTAACTGAATAAACTGATTGTCTTTTCAAAAGGATCTTTTCATTTTCAAAGGCATATGTGGAGTTCTACTTCGAAAAGCAGCTACAATAATTTCTCTCATGTTGTTGACAATAGTTGGTCGAGTTTTTTAAACACTGTCTTTAACATATCCCCATAAAAAAAACGATATCAGGAGCATTTAAGTATTCTATTAATTGGTGAATGCACACTTCATTCGCCAACTAATAGAATCATATCCAGTTCTCTCTGATGTAGGATAAGTTTGCATTTTCGGCAAATTTCTGAGAAATTTTAACCTGCATATGCTCACAAAATTTCATTTTAATACAAACTGTCGTTCTCCTTGGGGCCTCCGCGGCGTTTGAAAAGCGCCACCGTGTATGACCATATCACCATATACTTAGCGAAAAAGTATTTTAAATCTGTTTTGGTTTACATAAATAAAATAAAACTAATGAAATAGAAAATAAATAAATAATTAAATATCTATAGAAAGTGAATCAACAAACACATCACTGAATGTACAGGGTGGGTCAAATTCAACGCTTTTAAATGGAAACACCCTTTTCTAGAGGAGATAGACAAAAACTAATATCGGTGTCTGGAGCTCAATTTTTATCAAATACATGATCGTGAAAACCGCATATCGATATCTGTTACCGTTTTGGATTTACGGGGTGTTTTTCAAAAATATGCATTTTTAACAAATCGCTGTAACTTTTTTGCTATGGAAAATTTTGTATTTTTATAAACATTTCCAAAGCACCTTTTTACGTAGAATTTAATAGTTTAAGTATAATTTTTTTAAAATTAATAATTTAAAAATTATCAACAGAAAATTTGATTTTTTATATAGGACACCCCGTATATTTTTAATTAACTGAAAAAAATTTAAAAATACCTTTCCAAAAATATAACACACTTGATATTTTGCTCGATTTCTCTTCGAGATATAGAGTATATAAAAATTCGCCCGCTTTAAATAAGTAGGCTTTGAACGGCACCGGCTGTAATGCAAAAAAAAATCTAGCTGTGAGCATCAATTAAAACGAAAAAAATATTTGCTATGAGAGATGCAGAATTTTATAACAATTTAAAATATATTTAACCAACATCAACACATTTAAACTATATCTGATAACAATAAAAATAAATAGCAAACCAAAACATGAGATTTTGCTACAGGTGTTCGACATATCGACCGTCTTCTGTTATGGACATACAGAAGACGGTATGGTATAAGAAGACTCTTATAACTGCTAAGTATTGCTAATTCTTGTCTAGATTATACGGAAGAATAAGGAACCTTTTTGCAAATATATCTAAAGGATTAAATCCATGGGCACTAAGTCAGGCGGCCTCGACGGCCAACGACTGGGATCTTGGTTAGCTATTCAATTATTTTTGAAATTGGCTGCAAAAATTTGCTGATAACTTCAGCGTTCAGAGGCGGTGCGTCGTCTTGCTGGAAAAATATGTTTTCGAGTTCCATTAAGGGCATATAATCAATAAGGAGTCCAAAGCCTACTAGTTAAGTGGCGAACTTTTAAACATTCTGTATTTCGAAGGGGATTATAACAAAATATCAAGTGTGCTATATTTTTGGAAAGGTAATTTTAAATTCTTTTCAGTTAATTAAAAATATAAAGGGTGTCCCAAATAAAAAATCAAGTTTTCTGTTGATAACTCTTAAATTATTAATTTTAAAAAAATTATACTTAAACCATTAAATTCTACGTAAAAAAGTGCTTTGGAAATGTTTTCATAGAAATACAAAATTTTCCATAGCAAAAAAGTTACAGCGATTTGTTAAAAATGCACATTTTTGAAAAACACCCCGTAACTCCGAAACGGTAACAGATATTGACGTGCGGTTTTCACCATCATGTTTTTGATGAAAATTGGGCTCCAGACACCGATTAGTTTTCGTCTATCTCCTATAGAAAAGGGTGTTTCCATTTAAAAGCGTCGAATTTGACCCACCCTGTACACATCATTTTAGCGTAAATATACGGTATAAAATATTCATATTGTTTATATTTAGAAATAAAAATGATCCAATGTTATTACCGCTGCTCATGTATAAATAGACAATATTTAATTAAAAGTGGAAAAGGTGCGTCTGAATATTTTTATTGGTAACTTCTTTAAATCATTCGGAATCTCTATAACACTTAATTATTTATCGGAGACTATGAGGTTATTAGGTATAATTATTTATGATATACAGGGTGGTCCGAACTGTATTCCGGAAACTTCGGCAACATATTTTTCAGATAAAAATAAGTAAAAAAAGTTCGTATAAATGTATCTCCTAAAATGCTTAATTTCGGATATACAGGGTATAGAGGTTTCGTTTTTACTTCGATTTTATCCAAAAAAATTCTGAAATAACGTCAATATTTGGATGAAAATTGGTGTCTGGGAGTTTTTTGACATGAGAAATTTAATTTTGATGTCAATATAACTCCTACTTGTAGAGGGCGCCACTTACATATTTTTAACTGATTTGAAGAATAATAACTTTTCGTCCGTACCTTTATAAAACTACTGAGTAAAAAATATACATTTACGACGTTTTTTACGTAATTTTTTACGTTTCTCGGGATATTTGGATTCGAAATTATCAATACCTGTCGTCATTGACATACATTAAACATGTTGACCATAGATAAAAGAAAATAATCTACTATTAAGATGTTGACTAAACAGTTTGAAATATTTTTGTGCCAAAAGTTCCACAGAAACTGTTTTTTCATCATTTTTTCGGAGAAAAATGTATAATTAATTTAAAAATTAAAAGTTCCCAAATTTATCATTTCAGTCAAATAACTATCTAGTCAACATGTTACTTTTTTGTCAATCATGACATGTATTGACTATTTCCGTTCTAAAGATCTTGAGAACGGTTGTTCGTGGCGGTTTTAACTAAGAGCCATTTTTTAAGTAAAAAATCACGGAAATGTAAATTTTTTACCCAGTAGTTTTATACTGGTACGGACGAAAAGTTATTATTCTTCTAAACAGTTAAAACACATGTAGGTAGCGTGAAATCGAAATAAAAATGAAACTTCTACACCCTGTATCTCCGAAACTAAGCCTTTTAGGTCATACATTTATACGAACTTTTTACTTATTTGTAACTGCAGAACATGCTGCCGAAGTTTCCGGAATACAGTTCGGACCACTCTGTATAATTGAATTGATTGATTGTGTTATAAGTTTTGTCAAAACTGATGTCGAAACATTTCCCCAAACAATTCCAATAACAATAAAAAACAAACAACCAATTACGGCTGGTCTCGGTCGATTTCGATCTGTTTCGGAGTTTGCGACTGAGACAAGCCAAGATTCCCGACAACTAAAGAAAGCATTGAGTTTATTTTCTAAAGTATTTCGAGAAATGCTTCTCAAAATGTTTCACCAAATATTTCCAGAAATATTTCGTAAAACATTTCGGGCATAGTGTAGAGGGTGTTTTAGATATCCGATGCATTGATGTAAAAATATTGACAAAAGTGTGAAACCTAAAAAGTATAGTATGCGTGTTTTCACATAACCAACTCTACCTCTAGTATGTAATTCAAGCCCACCCACGTTAAAAATCTCACATAAAAACAACAATTATTAAGTACACCGACATTAGAATGGTTATTTTTATCCGAAAAAACAGAGGTAATAAGTTTTTCAACGCTCTTTTTGCTACTGAAAGTTTTTCAACAAATACAAAATGTTGCGCGCGGTGTATAGCTTTAAAATTAGTTGCGGACTGATATGAATATGTTGAACAAATTTGAATTATAATTTTAAACTTAATATGTTTTATATATTATAGTTTCAATATGTAGTTAATTTAACAATTCAGGGTTCAAGATATTTGGACTCATATTGGAAAGAATATTTTGAAGTTTCTCAGAATTTTTTAATGGATTGCATTAAGTGCAAATCAACAAGACGTATTTAATTAAGAGAGCAACGCTCTTTTCAACTGTTACTATTGACATATTATCCAGGGTTAATGGAGGGGTTGTTTTTTTACCCTAACTTTAGAACACCCTGTGCAATAATTTCGTGTGTAATTTTCCTAAAATATAATTTTACCGTCAGAACCATGTCTCCTGAGCATTCTGTTTTTAGATCATGTCAATACATGCCTTGGCTAATTTTTAAGAGCCTCCAACAATCTGCAATTTTTTCAATTATCATTTCTTTTTAAAGTTATTTTTCAATATGACAAGGCGTCTTTGGTGATTATTGTGAACTATATACTACTACTAGCGTGTACCAGCGACTTCGTTCGAATTAATCATTTGTAATGGTGATGATAAAGCAAAGCAAGAATTTCCATTGACATACAAACTGGATAAAATTTTCTCACATTTATGTCAGCATGAGAAAAAACAATATGGCGATATTATTATATAGCTTGGTAATATTTGGGGGGTAGTTTCGTCTCGTTGGAATTTGACTTTCGAAAAATCCGTTTGCCAAAAATAAGCTTTTTACGTCAAGCAGTTTAAGCAGAATCGTGGTTAAGAAATTACCCAACTTTTTGGAACACCCTGTATGATTTTATAAAAAAATTCAAAATATGTAAAAAACCAAATAAATTATGCTTGTCCAAGCGTTTTCCCGAAAGACTAACTGTTTTTTAAATGACAAATATTCTACTATTTGAGGGGCGTTTTCACCCTCTTGGAATTTGAGATTTGAGAAACCCCTCCTTATCGAACCTCTACATCCCACAGTCAATCCGTTTGCCAAAAATCAGCTTTAAACGTCAAGCAGTTTAAGCAGAATCGTGATTACTCAATGGTCATATTTTATGAAACACCCTGTATAAATTTATAAAAAATCTTAAAATATGTAAAACAACAAAATAAAATATACGTGTTTAAGAGTTTTTCCGAAAAACTCACCGATTTTTAAATAAAAAATATTTTAATATTTGAGGGATAGTTTCACCCCCTTAGAATTTGAGTTTCGAAAAATCTCTTTTTATCGAACCTCTACACCCTAAAGTCAATCTGTTTTCCAAAAATCAGCTTTTTACGTCAAGCGCTTTAAGCAGGATCGTGATTAATCAATGACCAGATTTTTCGAAACACCCTGTATACATTTTTAAAAAATCTTAAAATATGTAAAAAAACAAAATAAAATATACGTGTTTAAGCGTTTTTTCGGAAACTTGACCGTTTTTTCAATAAAAAATATTGTAATATTTGAGGGGTGGTTTCACCCGGATGTCGGTTCTGATCCCCTGCTATTTTGATGTGTAAAGTTCTTGATAGAAAAGTTTAATAGAGTGTAGGATTTCCTGTTTGTGTGTTACTATGTTGCCTGCATATCCTTGATCTTTTGTATTTCTTTTCTTCCCATTGTACTATTTCTCAATATCTTCAAACTTTGATTTTTATTAAACTTTTCTATCAAGAACTTTACACATCAAAACAGCAGGGGATCAGAACCGACATCCGAAAGGTAATAAATCAGGGGTCGGAAGAAATTCCAGAAATAACCGAGGAAGAAATTATCAGTGCCCTTAGAGATATGAAAAACAATAGAGCTGCCGGCGACTGGTAATAGAGTCAATCCAAGAAGGAGGACCAGAAATCATCAAAGCTTTAAATGTCCTATTTAATAAATGCATTGAAGAAGAAATAACCCCATCACAGTGGAACAACGCAACCATCATTATTGTACACAAGAAAGGTGACGTTACAGACCTTAAAAACTATAGGCCCATCAGCCTTCTTAGCCACGTATACAAATTATTTACTAAAATACTCACCAAGCGTTTGACAAATAAAATAGACTTTTTTCTTTCGAGCGAACAAGCAGGTTTCCGATCAGGTTACGGAACAAATGACCATCTTCTAACAGTCAAGGTCCTTATCGAGAAATGCATTGAGTATAATAGACCACTAATGCTTGTCTTCGTGGATTTCGAGAAGGCCTTCGATTCGGTAGACCAGCGGAAGCTTCTAGAGACACTAAGTGAGAGTCGCATCGATCATCGATACTCCTCAATCATAAGACATATATATGATAATGCCACGGCAAACGTCAGAATATCGACAAATCAATGCACAGATAAATTCAATATCGATCGAGGGGTAAGACAAGGCGACACACTGTCCCCTAAACTATTCGTTGCTGTGCTAGAAAGTATGCTAAAAATGATAAACTGGGATTCAACAGGAATTAACATCGATGGCAAATTGATAAATCATCTCTGTTTTGCAGATGACATTATTTTAATAACAGACAACATACAGGAGGCACAGAATATGCTGGATATGCTGAATGATGCTTCGGAAAAAGTCGGTTTGAAAATTAACTTGTCAAAGACACAATACATGACAAACCTAGTACTAAGTGGAAATTTAAACATTAATAACATACCTTTGGAACAAGTGCATATATATAAATACTTAGGGCATGAGATCGGTATTAGAAGGGATAATCAGACCCACGAAATTCTACGAAGAATAGGTTTGTCGTGGGCGGCATTTGGCAAACTAAGGCATATACTGAGATCTGATATTCCCATATGTTTAAGAAGAAAGACCTTTAACCAGTGTGTCTTGCCGGTCCTCACGTATGGAGCTGAAACGCTTACTTTGACAAAAAAGAACATACATAGAATACAGGTCATGCAACGGAAAATGGAAAGGTCTATGTTGTGAGTTACAGTCAGAGATAAAATACCCAATCATACAATACGAAATCGAACAGGAGTAAGAGATGCGGTGATATCTGTCTTACATCTTAAATGGAATTGGGCAGGACATGTGGCTAGGATGACAGATGGACGGTGGACAAAGAGACTTGTGGAATGGAGACCGAGACACGAGGCCTATAGAAGCAGAGGACGACCTCCTAGTCGATGGACAGATGACATTAAGAGGGTGGCTGGAAACTGGATTCAAGTGGCACAAAATAGAAGGAAATGGCTAGAGTTAAGGGAGGCTTTTGTTCAGCAGTGGACGGTATTAGCTAAATGATGATGATGATGATGATGGTTTCACCCTCTTGGAACTGGAATTTTGAAAAATCCGTTCTTATCGAACCTCTACATCCTAGAATCAACCTGTATGCCAAAATTGAGCTTCTTACGTTGAGTGGTTTGAGCAGGATCGTGATTAATCAGTATGTCAGTCATTTAAGGATTTTATATATTAGTATAGATGAACTGCCCATCATGTTTGACGTTTGGGAAGTGTTTGGCAGGAGAATTAGAGGTTGCGAAGCAGTACGAGCTTCATTAAATGAACCGCCTGATTCTTAAAGAAGAATGGAAAAGCATAACGCAATATGATATATGCAGGCTCAATGGCAGTATGAACGTATACACTACACTCACTACAAGCAGTAATAGCAGCCAAGGGAGGCAATACAAAATAATAGGGTATTTTTTAAAATTTTTTTTGTTTGTATAATTTAGTATTACAGATGTTTTCTTTAATATCGTTAGTTCTGTTATCGTTATTAATGTTTATTAAAACCAGGACTGTATCGTTAGTCTTTATCGTTTTTTTTTTTAATTTAGTATAGAGTATCCAATGCAGCATATTATGACGTTACGACAATAGTCACCAAAACCATCTAGTCATATTAAAAAAAATACATCAAAAAGCAATGATAATTGGAAAAATTGCAAATTAATTGTGATCATTTCATTATGCTCTTAAAAATTAACCAAAGCATATATTGACATGAATCAAAAAACAAAATGCTCAGGACTCAAATGCTCTGACCGTAAAATTTTAAATTAGGAAAATTTACACACAATCTTATTGCACAGGGTGTTTTAAAGTTAAGGTAAAAAACACCCTCCCGATTAACCCTGTATAATATGCCAAATACTAAAGTTAATAAAAAAACTTAGTTTGCAAATTAAAGTTGATATAATTATATACAGTTTTCTAAAAAATCATGAAAATAGGGCTAAAACTAACAAAAATATAACAGTTTAAATTTGACCAAAAATTTCTCCTTTGCGTTTTTTTTTGCATCTGAGTGTAATTAAATTTGTTTTTTTTTGTAGAGTTTTACAACAACATCTACACGGGACCAACGGGTCCACTGCTGACGCTCCCCCCCTCCCCCCAATTTTCACGGCGCCCGCCGCCCCGACGGCCACCGCCCAACCGACTGTTGTACCAAGCGCCGGCCCTACCCTTCCAGGAAGTGGAAGACCCCAAATGGAACTGTTCCGTTTGCACATTCCTAAACCATCCCGACCTGGACAAATGCGAACAGTGCGAGATGCCTCGGATCTATCACGGTAGGAGCAATCCCGGTTTGACGTTGGACGCGCTACGAAACATACCTAACCCCGCCGACTTCGACGTTGACTTTGACATGTTCCGGAAGTCGGCCAGCGCTCTCCAGAAAACGGTCAACAGACAACCGGTGGCCGGCGGCTTGCCAGTTTTAAGGCCCAGCAATTCGATGCCCGCGGGCGATATGATTCGAAGACTGCAGCTTAACAATAACAATAACAGCTCTAAAGACAATAACCGCTTTGCCGTAGTTCCTAGCGTGTCCGCGCCTAGCGTTATTGCGTTCTCCGCTAACCAAGACATTAACTCCAGCAGCGATGCTTAACATTTTACTTTAACATAGTGAACGTTTGAAACGTGTGTTGTGAAAATATCTAGTGTCGTTCGTTTGCTTAACACTTTTTTGTGGCAATTAAAGAAATTATAGATTAGTTTATAATTTATCTCTCCAAAAAAAGTTCTATGGGGATTTCGCTACTGCAAAGGCGCATTCTCACGACTCGTGTAATTGACAGACATTTGCAATGGGTATATAGGGTATACACGGTGCGTCGGGCATCTATACAGAAAGATATTTATTATAAGAACTATACCGCACTCCCGTCAGACGCTGTAGGCCAATAAAAAAATACTTGCCAAGTACACGAGTCGTGAGAACGCGCCATAATGCTGGAAGAACACACTCGCCGAGGCGACCCGAGGCGCGACAAAAAAATTAACAATATATACATTGTTATTGGCTAGGACCGTCCTTTTTTGTCGCGCCTCGGGTCGCCTCGGCGAGTGTATTTCTACCAGCATAAGAAAATCTACAAAATAAAATTGTTATTTTTTTTAAAACTGCTGCGTTAATCCAACCGAGACTAATTGTCTGCAGTGGTTTACTAATAAACAAATTTGCCTAATGGAAAAAAAATGCTTAACGTTTCGGAAAATATATCTCTTTCCATCGTCGGAAGCAAAAAAATACAAAGAAAAAAAATATATTTAAAATATCTAAATGCAACTATTCGAGAACACTTTAGTTTTTTACCAAACCAAACCAAAAAAGATGTCTACAAAAACCGTTGGCGTTCTGTTAAAATGACATTATATCAAGTTAAACTTCAAAATTAACAATTACTACCTGAGAACAAGTACTTAATAAGATAAAACCAAAAAGCTTCAAACTTTCTCTATGATTATTTTTAATTTTTACGTATGTTAGGTTTATTTATGTTATGTTCTTTAAAATCAAAGTAGCAATTGCCATACATTACTAACATCTACAGATGCATGAACAATACATTTATTTTATTAGATTGTATAAAAACAAATTAAAAAAGCCTCTCTTTTTTTTAGCGACTATTGCTTCTTTCATTATAATTTTTGCATTGTTAAAATCTATTTTGTGGCTTGTGTTCCATGAATGCTGACAAATCTTAGATTTTTGATAGTCGCCCTTTCTTAAATAATCTATATCTTCTTTAATTCGAACATTTAAGGGTCTAGATGTTTAGATATTACATTTTTTATTTGTCGTTCAGTGTTCATTGGTTTAGTGTGTATTCAAATGTGTATTTTGTATTTTGAAAGATGTTCGTATGTTATATTGTTTTCTTATCCTTTTTATTTATATATTACTTATTTTAGCTTCTTCTTTTTTTTTCTTTTTAAATAAGAAGGACAGGAAAATATATAACATACGAACATCTTTCAAAACACAAAATACACATAGATCCATTTTAACACACACCAAACCAATGAACAATGAACAACAAACAAAAAATGTAATATACAAAATACCAGGTGAATGTGATAAATTTTATATTGGTAAAACATTTAAACCCTTAAAAGATTATTTAAGAAAGGGCGACTTTCACAAATCTAAGATTTGTCAGCATTCATGGGACACAGGGCACAGAATAGATTTTAACAATGCAAATATTATAATGAAAGAAGCAATAGTCTCTAAAAGAAAAATAAAAGGGGGCTTTTTTATTACAATCTAATAAAAATAAGTCTATTGTTCATGCATCTGTAGATGTTAGTAATGTATGGCATACTTGATGTATGGCTTCTTTGATTTTAAAGAACATAACATACGTAAAAATTTAAAATAATCGTAAGCTTTTTGGTTTTACCTTATTAAGTAATTGTTATTAGGTAGTTAATTGTTAATTTTGAAGTTTAACTTGATATAATGTCATTTTAACAGAACGTCAACGATTTTTGTAGACGTATCTGTTTTAAAAAACACTAAAGTGTTCTCGAATAGTTCCATTTAGATATTTTAAATAGTTTTTTTCTTTGTTCTTTGTATTTTTTTTTTGCTTCCGACGACGGAAAGAGATATACTTTCCGAAATGTTAAGCATTTTTCCCGTTAGGCAAATTTGTCTATTAGTAAGGCACTGCTGACAGTTAGTTTCCGTTGGATTAACGCAGCAGTGTTTACAAAAATAACTATTTTATTTTGTAGATTTTCTTACAGTGGCGAAATACCCATAGAACTTTTTTTGAAGAGATAAATCCAACACAGAGGTATAGAGATTTTTTTATATTTATCAATAGGCCATCATGCACACTATTGAATTACAATTAAGGCCTACTTTACATGGACTCGATATTGGGCGATTTAAATCACATCATTTATAAACTACTTTTGTAATTCTACCAGATAGATTTTGGCTATGAATATTGTAGTTTATAATTTTCAACTCCTCAGATCTCCTTCTACCTGTAACCAGTAAATATTTTTTGCAATCTGCTCTATGTGTTACAACTGGACTTCTATCTAGGGTTTATCTTGCCATTCGCTACTTTGCATTCTTTGCACCTAATTCTTTACAATTTAACAAAACAGGATACTCATTTTGATTTCATCAATGTTCGCAAAACTGCTTATTTCTGATTTTCTCTTGTAATCTTGCCTTCAATTCAATTTTCAACTCTCTATTTTTAGATATCTGTTCAGATAGACAGTCAGATAGAAAAAATAGATATACAGGGTAAGTTTTCTACGATGTTCTCTATGGGTATCTCGGAAACTACTGGAGATAGAGAGTCGGTTAAATGCGGAAAGAGTTGCAGTTTTGTGGGGTCATAATCAGATTTTTGAAAAAGTTCATGGCTTACTAGATATTTCAAAAAAACAAATTTTGGCTATTTTAAAAATTGTCCCTAATTCGATTATAATCTATTTTAGACAAAAAGTTTTCAAATAAAAGTTGTAGATAATCACATCCCTAATGAGTTTATTTTCTCCGATTTTTTCTAAAGCCTGTCATTTTTGAAAGATGACTCAGACATATGTTTTTTTTTAAATGGAAACCATAATTGAGCCATGACTTCATAAAAAACGCCATTTTTTCAGCGATATAAGCTGTAATATGCTTTTTTCGAAAAATTACAGAGTTATGGCCAATTCTTATCTTATTTCACTTAGTTGGCGTTGTATTCTTATTCTATTATGATTTAAAACCGAGGGGTGTCACTATTGGAATTACATGTATATTTTCTTGGCAGTCGCTGGCAGTCATTGGCAGTCTTACGGCAGTCGCCTATAATAATTACATGGCAGTCATAGGCAGTCTTCTTCATAGTCATTGGCAGTCGCTTAGCAGTGAAAGGATATTTTGGCAGTACGTGTATTTTTTTTACCCGAGTGAGACACCCCTCGTTTAAAACTTATATAAAGACAGAATATGATATTAAACGGTTCTTTACAATTTACATTAAACAAATTAAAACTTAAAAAACGAATATCACCACATACACTTTAAGTTATTTTAGAAAATGTTCAAAAATCCGCCATTGTTTTGAGTTCATAAATGCATCTTCTTAAAACTGAATTACTAGCTATTCCCATAGAACGACCGACTTAATGAAAGTTCTCCCGTACCGCCTCTTCGTGTGCGTCTGTTAATTCATAAGTTTTTTTGTAAATCTTGTTGTTAACCATACCGTATAAAAAAATCTAAAATGGATAGGGTTAGGTGATCGAGGAGGCCCATGCAATTGGTCCACCTCTTCCTATCCCTGAGTTTGCATAATTATGATATAAATAAATTTTAACATTCCTTTCATTATGGGGAGGGGGTCATAATGAAGGTCATGTAGAACCACTCTATTGATGCGCGAATATCTAAATTTAACTTTTCTAACATGTCTTGAAAACCGTCCTCTAAAAAACGTAAGTTCACCGGTCAACGTATCATCAAAAATGTATGGTCAAGAAAAGTTGAACCAAAATAATCCCACACGCTGTTCTTCATCTGATTTATATTTATTGAAATTCATATTTACAATTTTTGTTTATTTTAAAATACAAAGTTTGGATGTGACAGTTTCACATTTCTGAGAGCAACGACGATTGAACTTGTTTCCATGGCTAACTAAGTAAAATTGTTTAAAAATGATAAGAATTGGCTATAACTCAGTAATTTTTCGGAAAAAAAACATATTATAGCTTATATCGCTGAAAAGCTTAAAAAATTGCACTTTTTATGAAGTCATGGCCAACTATGGTTTCCATTTAAAAAACATATGTTTGTATCATATGTCAAAAATAACAGGCTTTAGAATAAACGGAGGACACAATCTCATTAAAAATATGATTATCTACAACTTTTATCTGAAAATTTTTTGTCTAAAATAGATTATAATGGAATTAGGGGTAATTTTTAAAACAGCCGAAATTTGTATTTTTTTCGAAATATCTAGTAAGCCATGAACTTTCTCAAAAATCTTAAAGGCGCATATTTATGACCCCACAAAACTGCAATTTTTTTCCCATTTAACTCCCATACCCATAGAGAACACCGTAGAAAACTTACCCTGTTTAACCCTCTCAGACGTATATTCTGCCACTATTAGCTTGTTTTGCTAAAAAAAAATTCTGCTTCCTTGTTACCCATAACCATGTATTTAGATTTTCATTCATATATACAAAGGCCTTATTTTCTGAATTATTATCAGTAGTTTTAATTGATGAATCGAACGAGAACTCAACATAGTAATCTCTGTTGTTGATTTTTTTAAAACCAAACCAAACAAAACAAACATTTTGCTGCCAACTTAAACTAAAAATGTCTGTCATATTTATAAATAATTTTGTTAGAATTATCACGGTCTTTCGATTACTACTTTTGTCTTACTCGAGTTCCATGTAAACTAGGCTCAATAAATACACAAATTATCTTATAGATATTTTTAAGTCATTAAATTTTTATCGTGCAACCTGAAAAAAAGATGAAGTATATAAATTAATAATTATATTACAATTGGGAGTTAGAATTAAACACTAATTCTCCACAATACACCAAAACATTTTAAATTTGCAATGGACGCGCGTTTCGCTAACCATATTAGCGTCACCAACAGATGATTCGAACTAATTAGTAGTTAGCATTTTTTTTCACATTTAGTTTGAATCATCTGATGTGATAATAAAATCAGAGCAAAAGTAAAGTGTTTTGGTGTATTATGGTGAATTAGTGTTTTATTTTGCTGAATATAATTATTATAAACACTATTATTACAATATTCAACGTGTGTGTGTGTGTGTGTTAATAATTGTAGTATGTAGTACTTAATTAGGGTATATTTATAATAATTTCGTAATTGATTTTATCAGTTTATTTCTAATTACTATGTACAATTTTTTGTACGAGCAAATATTCCATAGTTAAGCAGTAACAACTGTGATTTTTGTGTGTGATATAGTATAAAACTATGGACTAATTAGTTAAACATTAATGTTTTATATATGTACTATAAAAAGTGAACTTATGAAGTGAACGTCAATATTATACCGATTTGGTCATTTAAGGAAGTATGGTCTGGATTTTAACGTGTAATAAAGAGATAAAATTTGGGTTGATACATTTCTTCTATGCCGTATTGCCG